TAGTTCAAGTTTTAACACCTAAAATTATACAGTGTAGAAAAGAATTCTTAGAAGAATGTTGACTAACCTTAAAAACTACAACATGAAAAATATTATTGTGTAGAGTTTCAAATTTAAAATGTAATTAATGATCAGTAGAACACATATGTGTATATATATATATATATAGTGTTTAATTTGAAAAGCAGTAAACAGTCAAATTTCATTTCAAGTCAGGTCTTGCAGTCAATGAAAGCACATTGCTGAGAAATAGCTCTTGCAACTCATGCTCGGGGAACATGTAAGCTTAGGTGGTGAGTATGTAAGCACAGCCAAGTGTTCTATCGCGTTTCATTTTTTGGGTGTCAGACCAAATGTTACCAACTTTGGTTCAGAAAATGATCATCAAACATATGGGTTTCTGACAATCACAGGTAATGTGGCGTCAGGAAAGACTTATCGGATATGCCAGCCTTCGCTCTGCATCAGTCATCAGCCTCCACAGCCAGGGGTGACACAGGAGGTGAAGGGGCTTTCCCAAGAAGCCACAAACTTGTCTCTCCATATTCTGTTCAACATTGCTATGTATTATCTGCACAAACTAGGGAAACTATTACCAGGAGACATTCCTGTCTCAAGGGAATAACATGGACAGCAATAAAGGAAATCCAGTGTCCTGCTGTGGCCTCCCTATGGATACTCATGGGTGTGTGTACCTACATACTCACACTCAGGACAAGCCATTCTTTGTCCCACTGTAACCGGTGCTGACAAAGGATGTCTTTAAGATCTTGCACATAAAAGGGTTAATGTTTCTTGAAAGGGACAGTGGAGCTAGTTGAGAAGGTGAAGGGAGTTAGGGGAAGTGAGAGAGGGTAGCAGGGAGGTGACTATGTATGAAATACACCATGTACATGTATAAAAATGCCGGCAAAGCATATTATTTTGTATAAATGATATATACTAATAGAAGCGTAAAGAGGTTGGAAGTGACAGCAACATATAGATTGGCTCATGAGTTCTAAATTCAATTCAATAGTCTTCAAAATTGAAGAGTCTCATAGTTAATCATTTTATACATAAGTCAACATTGAAAAATATACCTTGTTATATTTAAATATTTTATTTATTATTTTTATTTTTTATGTATATGAATGTATTGCCTGCATGTAGGTAGGTACACCCATGTTGTGCAATGCCCACAAAGGTCAGAAGAGGGTGTCAGATCCCCTAGTACTGTAGTTCTGGACAGTTGTTAGCCTCCACGTGGTGCTGGGAATCAAACCAGGATCTTTTGCAAGAGTAGTCAGTGCTCTTAACTGCTGAGCCATCTCTCCAGCCTCTTTAAGGTATATTTAAAAATATCATTTTAAGTCATATAGAAAATCATATAAATGAAAAATCTCATGAAGAAAAGCACTCTAAAATGTTTTGTAGAAAGTTAGGATGTAGCTCACAAGGGCACTGGCCTGACTTGCACGTTCCCTGACTTCAATCTCCAGCACCACAAGAAAGCAAAAAGGATTTTTCAGGTAACTTTTCAGTGATTTATCAATGTTCAAGTTTTCAGTCAAGCCTTTATTGTTTGTATTATATTGTTTTTATCACAAGGTATATTATAAGTACATGTAAAGTTTAAAGCAATGGCTTTTAAAAGTAAAGATAGGAAATAATAGAATAACGAGTCCACAATTTATATTGATAAATAGAAATAGTTACATATCAAATATCTCAAACATCAAGTGAAATAATAAGAATCTAAACTGTTGAATACAGCTAAAGTAATTATGCCATGTAACCATAAATAAATACTACACCATAGGCTGATCTCTTCCTAGATCCTAAAAATACACTTGTAAGGTGGCTATGTTATTTTGTAAATTATGAACTAAGCTTTAAAAACTAAATGGCATTACAAATAAATGTATTGCAAGCAAGACTGGAGCCCTGCTTTCCTGCCTTCAAATTCAGTGCCCATTAGTCAGCAACACACTGCCTGTGTGAAGCCACAGACTTTAGAAATGGATTTAGTGTTAGGAAATAGTTAAACATTAACTAAGCACTCTCTCTCTCTCTCTCTCTCTCTCTCTCTCTCTCTCTCTCTTTAAATGGATATTCTATAGAAAGTAATCTTTCTTGGGAATACAGGAATATTATGGGTAAATGATATTTGCTACAGGGATCTAAACTTAATACTGAGGATAGCTCATAGGAGGTGTGCATGCTGGGCAGTGATGTTAAGGATTCCACCAGTTTGGGGAGGGCAAGCAGCCAAATTCCCTCCTCAGTGATAAGGTGCACAAACCTTCAAATATGAAAATTAAAAAAAAAACCAACCCTGATGACTATTGGATATTGTTTAGAATAATATTTAGCAATTGAACCAGAATACCTTGACAGTCATGACCTGTTAGATCCCATAATAAGCATAGCTGAAAGTAGGTCTGGCTTGAAAGGAAGCTAAGGGATGGTAACTCTGAATTTTGCCACCATTTTTACTACATGAGGTAAAGGCAGATCCTGTGAGTAACTCATAAGACTTTCGATAACTTCCCTGTGGCAAGATCACAGGAAAATCAAACTGGGAAGTGGCACTTTGACATCCCCAAAGTTAGTCTTTGAATCCTTGGAAACTTCCTGGAGTATCTACTCTGGCCATAGAGAATGCTCAAGGACAGCCAGGCTTTGAAAAGGTGGGATGAAGGGAATAGAAGAAGAAGCGCTACCTCCCATCTCCAGTGTGGTGCTGAGGATGGAGCCTGATGCAGTGCACCAGGATCACCTGACAGCTGTAGGGTACTTTGGTTAATCTCTGTGACAGTTTGTTCATAGCTCTTCAATATAAAATAATAATGCCCATCTTGTAGGTGAATGTTGGCAAACAGCATATAAAATGTTATCATAGGATTAGTACCAGCCTTCAAAGTAAGTTATCACCTTTTAAAATTAAAACTAATGAATAGATTACCTCTTACAAATTGCATTATTTTGTAAATAGTAGCACTATAACATGAATAATATGACTGAGGTTCGAGAAATGATGATGCTATCCTCTGGTATTATGTAGGCAGCTCTGGGTTTTACCCTATGATAGGACAGAGGCAAATTTATCACTCCTTGACCTTTTGGCTAAGATCAAGTACAAAGGCTATAGCCAAATTTAGCCAGTGGGCTGGTATATGTAACCACTGGCATAAAGCTATATCAGGTGAAGTACTTTATTTTGCCACTGCTTTTTTGTTGATGTGTGTGCATGTATTTGTATGTGTGCACACCTGCTTGAAGGAGCCCTATTGTTTAGAAAGCAAGTTCACATTGCACTTCAAATTAGGCCAATCCATCTTTATTGTCTTGGCAGCATTATTGGTGTCTTAACTGAGATGCAATAAAGTAATTTTAATTAATTAACTTTGATATACAAGACCATAAAATTCTACTCACAAAGAATAAAAAGGAAAGAATTTTATTAAGGCCTCTTTGGAAAAATAAGAATCAGACCCTGAAAGCAAATTTGTCAGTCACCACAGTGCTAGAAATCACCAACACCTACAGATGGTGGGTGGCTGTGCTCTCCTCTTCTTACCTAACTTCAAGTCTTCAAAGTTTCTTTCCTCTCCACATGCCTTGTATCCAGGCTATGCACAGTTGGTGCTTTTCATAGTGGCCTACACTGCCATACATTTCTCCTAAGGACCCTGGCAATTACCCACTCCAACCCCAGCACTTCAGGGGAGGAAACCGAAATGCAGATGGGTGAGATTTTTACCTAAGGTTGTTAACTAATATAGGAACTTACTACCACCGTGAGGACCAGAATCAAGGCCCAACTCGGGTCACTACTCTCTCTGCTGCCCCTGGTTTGCATTGATTACACCCCACATTTTTTACCTTCCCATTCCAGCACCGCCTCTCACTATTTACTCTTGCTGCTGCTTTGGTCAGAAGTTGTCATTCGGCAAGGTCCTGTCTTGTAACCTAATATTGGTCTCCGCAGCGACGCTACACACCACTGCAGAATCATGTCATGTATCATGGTTTTACCACACTCAAATAATCACTCCAAATTTTCAAAGTTATCCCACTCTACAAAATTGTATCCCAGCGCTGGGGTATTTATTTATTTATTTATTGATTGATTGATTGCATTCATGGCTTTCTGTGACTTACCCAAATCCAATTCCTTCAAGACAGTCATTCAAGAGGCCTCTATTATTTATTTAATATTGTACTCATAAAGCCCAAATGAATTTCTGGTCTTATTCATCAAGAAACTCATTGTAATGGGGCAGGGTGGCACCTGCCTTTAATCCCAGCACTTGGGTGGCAGAGGCAGGTGGATCTCTAATTGAGGCCAGCCTGGTCTACAAAGCAAGTTTCAGACACCTGGGGCCGCAGGAAGATTCTGCTTCAAAATAACCAAAAAATAGAAAGAAAAAAAAAGAAACTTGTTGTTGATCTGGAGAGATAGCTCACTCTGTGAGAGCACTGAAGGCTCTTTGTAGAGGACCTGGACTCAGTTCCCAGCACCCACATGACAGCTAACACCTGCCCTTAACTCCAGTTCCAGGGCATCCAATGCCCTCTTCTAGCTTCCTCAGGAACCAGGCATATATGTAGTGTACTTACATACATGCAGGCAAAACACTCCATACACATAAATTTTTTTTAATTTAATTAAAAATTATAAGAAACTCGTGTACCAAATTTCATTAACTAGTTATAAATAGAGATTCTTTATAAGAGAAAATGTGATTATTTTAAAGTGGTCTAGTAAGAAAAAATTAAAAATATGTAGAAGATGTCTACCAGACAAGCATGTCTACCTGGAGTACAGGTGTGCAGGGCACCTGACAATGTAGAATCAGATAGATTAAAACTTACCAGTGACCTTGCCTTACTTTCTGTCTATGCAAGCTCAAACAAGTGCCTGCCATACTTTCCATGTGGTTACATGGTAATACCTATTAAATATCAGGTAATCACAAAGAGAGGTTCCATGCTGTTTATCCCTGTCCACTTACCAGGATGCTTTATGCTGTCCGTATTTCTTTGAGCCCGGCCTATCAGGACAGTGGTCCCATTCACAGACTTCTTAAGTGTATTAGGTTTCTTCTGCAATTTTACCTGCTTCTGAGACTTGGCAACATTTGCTAGACTATCAGACAACAATCTATCAACATTCCAAGTTAAATTCGCTAGGGCATCATGAGTTTTTATTTCAATTATTGATTCCACAAATTCTGTCAGAGCTTTCTGAGGTGCCTGACTGTCTGGCAGAGAGCCTTGGGTCCACATGGGAACAACAGCAGTTGGTCTGCATGCACTTGTAGAAGCGTTATGGCATGTTGTTAGAAGCTCATGAACAGTTTTGTTAAGCAAAGAGAAACTGGCTGAGAGATGGATGGATTTTGCTTCCAAGGCCTTAAATCTGGAATTTAATACATGTAGCTGAAGTGTGTGGTCTCTGCCACTTGACATCATGTTGTCTTTTTTAAATGAACTATAATAAGGAATGAGTGTCTTGGTCACTTTCGATTCAAGGCCTTGCAACTGAGCTTCAAACTTTTTGGGAATCTTAGTGGCTGAGAATATAAGTTCTTCCAGATTACTCATGTTTTGCTGATATTTTTTCACTTTGGAGGTGGTTTCATTGAACATTTGATAAATCTTTTGAACATTGATCTGACTTAGTTTCTCATCTTTGGGAACAGCTGCAAGGGCTTTGGCAACTTGCAAAACAAAATTATACTTCTGATTGTCGTTGACCAAAGTCTGGATAGAATCGTTCAGACGCTGGAACTGAGGAATAAATGTCAAAATGGCTTCCATATTTTGGTTACACTCATGAACCTTGGGATTATCATTCAAAGCACGTAAAGTCTCTTTCAGCACATAATTATCTTGAACAAAGTCAATGGCATTATTTACAACAGTCATTGTCTTATTTAGGCTGTCTTCCATGTCCAAGGCATGATCGCTGAGGCGTCTTTGAAAGGCTTCGCTACGACTCTGTACTTCATTTCTGAGTAAACTGTGTCTTTTCGAAAGTTCTTTGATGAGAATGTTGAGGCGATTGACAGCACTGATCAGGCTCTGCAGCTCTTTCCGTGAAACTGCTGCTTCCCTTGGTCCATTGTGTGTCACCCGCTGTGTCAGGGACGATCTCTGCTCCAGCAAGGGTTGTAGAATCTCCATATCATACGTCAGATCGTTCAGCTGCTCGCTCATTTTATCCACCTTGTTGTCCATAGGAAAGATAACCTCGGCTAACGTTTGGTTTAACATATGTAGATTCTCTTCTGTGTCCTTAAGTTGAAATTTAAAATCATTTCTGCATTTAGAGAGCATTTCTTCGCATTCTCCCCTGACTGATGCTTTCTCCATCTCCAAATGGGTGGTGAGATTTCTAATCTTGCTCTCTTGGATATGCAAGTCATTGAACATCTGCAGCATCATCAGATCTTGCTTGCTTACCTTTTCTTGTAGAACAGAGATATGATAGGTGATGTTATCACTGACTGATCCCTCAGTGGTAACATACTCCTGATGTGAGACTTGTTTCATTGATAAAAGCTGCTCATGTGATTCCTGCATTTTGGAGAGAGTTTTATTGAGGGATTCATAGTACTGAATGTCCCTTGAGCGCTCCTGTTCCAAAGCACCTTCTAAATAAGCCTGCTGTGCCTCCAGCTCTTTAATAGGCTTCTCGAATTTCAAGGCCATTTCCTGCCTTATATCCGAGATGCTGGTCTGCAGATCTGCTATGTCCTTCAAAGTGGGCCTGTTTCCATGCATCAAAGCAGACTTTTGTTGGACTGTCAATGAAACCACTGACTGGTTCACTTGCAGAATTGCTTGCCTGGTACTTTCAAGGTCTTCTGATAGACTTGATACTGTCTTGAAGAGTTGGGCAATTGTCTCCTGCATGTCATTCTGAAAGACTTTAAACTGTTCTCTTACTATGTCCTTTACCAGATCATCAATGCTTTTAGATTTTAGACCTAAGGAGAAAGAGATAATAAATAGCAAAAAAGGAAAAGAAAATTCATACCATTTAAAGAGGCTAAAAATTTTAAAACTAAACACTAATCATGTATACTAACAAAATAATTCTTTACATATATTTATGGCATTTAAAAATTGCTAGAATTCATGGATGATAATCAGTTTCTTGACTGAAAAATTGGACAGGAAAAACCAAGCACCATGTGGAACATGCTGCCACCATAAATCAAGGGTTCCAGGTGAGAGGGGTGAAGGAACTGCTGCTATTGACTCCAGTAACAGAGGAGGAAGTGGGGGAAGAGAAAGAGGAGGTGGGGGAGGAAGAGGGGCAGGAGGAGGGAGGGGAGGGAGGGAGGGAGAGGAGGAGGAGGGAA